CTCTGATGCCAAGCTTCGTCATTCCTGCGCCTATCCGCAGAATCATCATATATAAGGAAATGAGTAAGCAGAATAAAGTAAGCATTTAAAAACTTTTTTTTTTTTTAAATTAAAGTGTGCCCTCTTTCAATTTAAGCATTAAATTTTAATTTTCCAATTTAAGAAATAATATATTTCAACTCCCTTTTTGATATGAATATTTGTCATGAACTTTTTCAGTACATTTGCTACATATAAAATACTTTGTTATATACATCAGCATCGTCATTCAGTCGTAGAAGAAAGTTTTAGCAGAAACTTGCTTATATTTGATTACAAATGAATAAAATCTAAGAAAGGCATTAAATTGCCATCATTGCCTTCCTGCAAACACAGCCATAACTGAGAACACATTTCATGGCATTCTATTAAAATGTTCTATTAAGTTTAAACATTTAATGAACACTTTCTTTATTATTATTACCTTTCTTTTCAATGAGAACTACAAGAAATTTGGTTAGGCAAGAAGTTAAAGAAAAATGGTAAAAAAGAATGGATCATGGAAATGCAGCAAGGAAATAGAATATGTTCACATTCTTTTTCAGAAGTAAATTCAAGCTATATCAAGATATCGTAAGTTTCAACAATATTGCATCACTTCTTCAGAGAATAAGTACGATGTAGAAATATTCTCTTCAAATAAAATAAGATTCTTTTCTAGCAATAATACATTATTATTTATTACTTTAAAATATCATACTGGTACAGAAAGATTAAGTTAATTATTAAGACAAAAATATTAACATATATGGCTAATGTAGAAAGTTATTTAACTTTTTTTGCTCTATACACATTCTTCTATAGAACATGTTGTCTTTCATATGTTAATACAGGGGTTGTAAATTAAATACTAACAATTTAACCTTGAAACTCGCAGAAGGGCAGGCATGCACAAATAGGATATGGAAGCGGTGAGGTGGCGCTGTTGTTGATGTGCAGAGTGCAAAAAACAGTCGATCTGCTTAGAAGGGTAGTTGTTGTGTGGCGTTAAAGTGAGGAGCTTTGTTTCCATTGCTCTAAGGCATGTTTCCAAAAGGTGATCAACGGTCGTGGCTTAAAATTGAGGTTGACTGTGGCAAAAATGCAACAGAATGCTATCAAGGATTAGTGGAAGTCTGTGGCACAAATGCCTTACCGTATAGGACAGTAGCACGATGGATTCAAGCATTTCGTTCGGGTCGGAATGAGACTGCAGATTTGCAACGCACAGGTTGGCCCTCCATTCCTCAAGAGCCGATCAACATCCTGAGTTGTCTCCTTACTATAGACTGCCAATTTGCTTCCCGCTGGGTTCCCCATCGACTAACCGAAGTACAAAAATGGCACCAGTACGCACTGGCTGGCACCCAATTGGAGAGATACCACAATGAAGGAGAAGCACTTCTGCAGCGTATTGTCACCATTGATGAGACATGGGCATGAGCCTATGAGCCTGAATTAAGCGTCAATCAAATGAATGGCGTCACCAAGGTTCGCCACGTCCACAGAAATTTTGACAGGAACCCAGTCGGGTGAAGGTTATGCTAATCATGGCATACGACTGGGACAGTGTGATTCTTACACATGCTGTACCTGAAGGACAAACTGTCAAAGCAGATTACTATTGCCGATTTCTACAGCAGCATCTGCATCTGGCTATGCGGCGCAAACGTCCCTGTTTATTGCACAGCAATCTACTAATCGTATTGCATGACATCGCTCGTTGCTATGTCACAAACAATGTCACTCTCCTTTTGTGATGGTGGCAGTTGGAAATCCTTGAACACCCTCCCTACTCACCTGACATGAGTCCTTGTGACTTCGAGCTGTTTCCAAAGTTGAAAGAACCCTTCCGAGGTCACCGATTTCATGACGTTTTATCTGTACTCCACACAGTAGGGCCCTCGATTGCTCACATCAACAATCAACACCTTGCAACTGGTCTACAATGGCTTCCTGACATTTGGCAAAAGGTTATAAGCTTTGCTGGTGATTACATAGAAAGAATGTAATGCAATTGCACTTGTAAGTTCATTAAAAATTGATTTATACCTATTTTACCATTACTTAATTTACAGCCCTCATATTTTGCATTTTTATTGTAAATTCTATTGCGTTTTTGGTTTCTTGATCCTATGTATTTTTATGATGGCAAAATTTTGTAAACACTGTTATATTCTACATTGTAAAAGTCAATTTAGCATTTTTGTGATGCCAATGCATTTTCTTTTTCTTTCTTTCTTTTTTTAAACACAGACAGATCTCCCAGGCAATTAATTAGGTATTACGATGTCTGGTAAAACTGCCGTCCAGATGGGATACTGGTTAGTGATGCTGACTATTGTACCAAAGGGCCTATGGCTCGAGTCTTGAGGAAGGCATGGATGTCTGTAAGTGAATGATGTTAGTGTAGCACTCAAAATACACAGATAACTGAATGTCCTCTTGAGAGACTGGTGAAAGCGAAAGAGGGGTGGTGTTCTTCAAAACTGGGACAGGAGCTAACAGTTAGCGAGGTTAATAATTATCTCAATCACCTATGGTATTAAAGAGGTGCTGGCCTAGCTTTTACTTGTACCTAGTATGCTACACTTTAGTGGGGCAGGTCATACTTTTTTCTAGCTAATTAGTTATTTCATTCTTTGCTCTGGCATTTTTAAAGAATATTTACAGCAATTCCATTATTGCACAATGAATTGGAAGTTGATCTGTCAGCACTATCCTTATCTTCAGGGCAGATGTTTTTATTTTATTTGGCTTATAATTCCTTACTAAATGTAGTATTTCATCTCGATGTACTCCGTCTTTGATATTATTTAAATCAAATTCCTCCTCATTATAATTCGCTTCCGATAGTGAAGAAAGTGACACAGAGGTTATTGAAAACGAAAAAATTTCGATTGACAAATTACTCAGTATTCTTGACACAGCAATTATAGGACTTGAACAGCAGAACTTTGTAACTGAAGAAGAAATTATGTCTGTTTATAGAATTAAAGAGAATGTATTATCACATAAAACAAAGCAACTTAAACAACTTACATTGAAAGAAATGTTTAATAAAGTAAGCAAATAAATATTAAGCCTTTTTTTTTTCTTTTTTTTTTTCTAAATTTTGATATCCTTTAGATCATAATTGTTCTTTATTTCATAAATTACGGTTTCATATTTTTAATTTTATAATTTCTGCATGCCATCTTACCAGATTTAAACTGATGATCTATAATCCGGAAAAATCGATAATCCGGAATCGCCGAAGTCCTGACGAGTCCGGATTAACGACTTTTGACAGTATATATATTTAGCTAATAAAGGCTCTTTAAATACAAATCTCCATGATAGATCCAAAAACCCGGGCCGCTCAGAGGATTAAGAGTAGCATTCGATGAGAAAACACACTGAAATATTTTAAGATTGATATTCCATCAGGTTAAAGATACAGACTTAGCATTGGAAATGGATGTTTTTCAGTCACCTAAAATAGAAAGGACGGTACGCATTATTAGAAAGATAATTTAGAATCTTCTTATTATCTACATTCCTACTGAAAATTCATGAATAAATTTTAATGAAGCAAAGCAGTATGTTGCCAAATAGTTGTGTGATGACCCATAGTGTTTCCCAAAAGTACCTATGTAGCAAACCAGATAGGTATGTGCATAGCATGTCAGTTTTGGTCATTGTACAACATTGACATTGGATGCATGTTGAGTTTGTGCAAGTCTTTCATTTTGTTTATGCAAAAACAGATCGCTATGTATATGGAGAGAAAAAAACAAGTAAAAAAATTACAGATGAATTTCTCAAAAAGGTTTAAGTGTTTTATTACCAATGTTTATTGCTTTTCAAATTTTATTGATTGACCGCTCTTTTATGGAATTCTTAGTGTACTGCTATTTTGAAAAATGACTCTTGCCTTCAGTGAAAAATTAGTCGCTAATGAAATTCCTTAAATGCTCTTCAAAGTTAACAATGAATTCGCAACTTTTTGGTGGGGTGCAGGTAATCAGAAAACATTTAAACTTCTTTAACTGTGTGATACTAACCAGTCTACTTCATAAATCCAGTCATAATTATTTGAAAAGTTATTTAGGCATTTTTTAAACTATAACATGGATTGGCATATCTTGATTGAATGTATTAGGGATCCATTCCAACACGGCAGAATAAAGCATACATTTTCAATCAGCATTAGGAATATCTAAATAAAATTTCGAAAGTGATTCCAATATTTTCCTTAATGCCTATTCTTATTCACATAAAACATAAACATTTTTTTTTTTCTTTATAAACACTTTTAAATACAATGACATACTATATTCAAGAGGAGTTTTAGATTGCAAGATCACTTGTGGAGAATTGTTTAGAAAAGTGTCACGTTCATAAAAACAACTCTTTCTTAAATAATGCTGACAAAGTAAAAATATCAGACATTCTGGACTATAGGCAAAGTTATGTTGTTCCGAGTTGAGGCAATGGTAAAATTGAAGTTACTGGAAATGATATTTTTAACAAAGCAGCAATTTCATGCACCAATTGCAATTTTTAAACTTTTTAACATTCCATTAATTGTAAAAATTATTAGTTTTGCAGTAAATCATATAGTAGACATTTTTTATTTTGTGATTTAAAAACAACAACAAGAAAATTTAAAATAAATTTTAAGTTTTGGTTAACATAAACATTACAGTTAACTATTTTGCCTTTAAATTTTATAATTCTTCAAAATAATAAAAAAATTCTCAGACAGATGTTTTCCTGGTCTGGAAATATCTCAATTAAATGGTGTGATGTTCCATGTCCCAAAATTAATAAAGAAATGTCCATTTATTTTTTATGAGGATTTCATCTTTTAGAAATGTTTCAAATAAATGCCTGCCTCAGTAACTGGCGGCTCAGTTAATGAGACTGGAATTGTGTATTTTCTTATTTGCAACATTTCTCTTAAATAAAATATACAAAAATATATTGCAGTACCTTACCTATCTCTTCTCAGCTTCACAGCTTTTACATCAGAAGTGAAATCAAGCTCAATTACATGCTTTTCTTGTGAATCATCCCAAACCATAACTAAAAAAAATAACACAAGAAACTGTTATGCAACATAATAAAGTGAACATTTTAATTCAGATTCATAATACTGTTATTTTGTATAAAGTAAAATCAATATGACATACCTCACAAAAAATTATTTAGCAAAATCAACATACTGTATTAAAACCCTACGTACATTCAATCAAGAAAAAAAAAAAAAAAAAAAAAAAAAAAAAAAGAAGGGGACGGTTCTATATCTCCCATTTTGCTCAGCCAGTTAATGATACTCAAATTGCGTTTTTATTGTCTCGAAAGCATGACTTGAGACATATATTGGATTTTTATATAGAACTGTTCTAATATACATATTCTGACAAAATTGGACTTTCTGATATGACACGCCAGTTTTTTTTTTTCCATATTTTGATTCTACGACTCTACTTATCCCTCTGGTTGCTTATTCCATGATTTCCACAGGCAACTCAAACGTAGCAAAATTTGCTCTTCCCATGATTTTTGCAAGCATGTGTTTTTCTTCCTTTGTTGAGAAGCGCATCCCACATCTTTTCACTGTTTAACCAGTCAAATAAATTTTATACAGTATTCAACATTTAATTTAGGTTTTGACCAACATATATTGTTAGTCATCCACTAAATTGTGGCATTTGCAGGTACTTGGTACTTACCGCTCTCATTTCACTATGTTTGCCACATTTTTCAAATCTGAAATGGCTGCTTAAAAAGCATTAAGTGATTGACAAAAGTATGACGGAAATGGAGTAAAAGAAAGATGCAAATGGAAAAAATTCACAAAGAAACTCGAATCTGGTGCAAAGACTGTGAAGTTGGACTTTGCCTTGAACCCTGAACTCTTTGATACTAAACTACATTTATAAGGCATTTTACCCCTCAGTGCATTATATTTTCTTAAGTTTTATACATTTCTCTTTTTCATATTATGTAATAAATACATATTAACCGTAATTCAATTTTTTTTTTTGGGGGGGATAACATTTGAAGTTGGTTTTTCTGACAACTTAGTTTTTCATGATAAAAATCTATGTAAAAAATCTTTTCTAGGGGGAAAAATTCAATTCTCCAATATATATAGATTTAAAATATGCAAAAAAAAAAAAAAAAAAAAAAAAAAAAAAAAACATAATAATTTCTGAAGTGAGCAGTCAGTGGATTAAGCCTAAAAGCCACATTTTGTTAAATTGTGTGGACTATTTAATCAGTAATTCAGAAATTTACCTGAGTGCACTTTTTTTACTTTCAGCCAAGAATGATCCACTTCACGAACTTCTCATTTCATGGCAATCTATTTCCCTTTGCCTTTCATTCTTTGTATGAGTGGGAACATAGAATCGTTTTTTATTTTTCTCGCATATATTTTTACTTCACATTATATTTTTTAATTACAATTGCTATTTTTTTAGATTTTTTAAAGAATTTTATTCTAATTAGAGCTGGGTGGCTGAATTACAATTCATATGGTTATTTTTAAAATTTCTGTTTATTCGTTTGTGTTGTGTACTTCAAGTATGTTTATTCATACAACTTTTTTTTCAATTTTACTTTATTTATTTGATTAGCATTTCTTTCGAAAGAATACTTTGCCATCCAATATTCGTCAAGATACCTTTGAAAACTGCATTCTGCATAAAAGAGAAAATACCATAAAGTGTAGTTAATACGTCTTTCAATAGACCACTCAGAAGAGATATATAAATGAAAGTTGAATCTACATTTTAATTAAGAATGATATGCATATAAACAATTTTCCACAGTTTTTATCACTGGGCCATTGTTTACACAATTTTATCATCTTACATTTAGTTTGTTAAAATTATTCATATTTCTGAATAAGTTCAAATTTTTCATTTTTTAAACTGCAAAAATCAAATAGCATAATATAAAAAGACTAATTTTTGTGCAAATAAATAAATAAAAATAATTAACTAAAAATAAAGAAAAATAAGTATTTTATTTTCTTAATACGTTAAATATTTCTTTTTAATTGCTTATTGCCTTAAGAAAGCCTTAATGATCCTCTTGAGGCATTCTGCAATCTTCCTCCTTTTTTTTATTCACTGTATACCATACTCAGTTTTGAAACAGTTTACTTTCTGATGACTAAAGGCGTCACCTGCTGTTTCATCAGTAACTGGTCAGAGTAAAATGGTGATTTCATCCACGATACTGAATGCCTTTAGAAGTTTAGACATTTCAAAAGCATAACATGAAAGAAAAGACTAGTTTCATCAAAATTGAAAACAATTTTAACTGATATTGATATACTTTTTTTTTATAAATTCATGAATCTTCAATAAATTCAGCTAAGACATCTTTGAATTCTTCATTTATGATATGCATTCAATGGCATAATTTAAATTTATATAGCTCTTCTGTGAAAAACAGGGGAAAAAAAAAAAAAAAAAAAAAAAAAAAAAAAAAAAGAGAGAGAGAGGTCACCCTTTGCGACGTTATTTCTTTTGCCTTTTTCACTAATATAGGTCCACTCACTGGAATATGTGGCACAACGAATGGAGTAAAAACCTCAACAAAATATCATTTGAACCTCCAGCAATTTCTTCTCAAACACAAAATTTCGTTCAAGTGGTTTTCAGAAAACTGATGTATTGATGATTTCTATTTGCTTTCAATGTTAACATAAGAATGTTAAGTTTTTTTTTATAATTTATTTGCATAAAATTTGTGTTCTTATCACATTCTTTTAACATTTCAGTTTAAAGTCAGTTTTATTATTCAGGGAGCTTGCATTTCATTTTCTAGATATTTTAATTGCAAATTAAGATTAAAGTAAAACTCCAAGGACATTAGTTGATTAAAAATATGCATACCAGATCATAAAGGAATAAAGCATCTCCCAAACTTTTATTCAAAGTTTATTGTGTCTCACCTAGTTATTCAATATTGACATTGGATATGAATATTTTAAATCATATAATTTAACAATTAAGACCAGTAAATGACACATTAAAGAGGATATTTTTCAAATATTTGCAATAATATGAAGGAAAAACTAGCTATTTTAAACACCTTTTTGTAACAGGGTTAAGTTAAAATTTATATTTCATATATTTTTACTAAAAGACAAGATATGATTAAAACCATCAGACTCTTAAACTTAATTTATATTGTTAAGTACTTAGTTTGAAAATATGCACTATGATATAACTTTCGCTTTTATGGAAAAAAGGTAATAACAATCTAAACATAGTCCAATTTAATAAGGTCAAGTTTCAATAAACCAAAACTTTCTAGTTGTGACGATCATTCTAACTAACTGACGTTCAAGTAATCAAAGTTTTAGAGTATATTCACAGTATAGAAATTAAGTAATCAGAGTGTATTAAAAAATAGAAATACTGCAAAGTTTATATTGATGCAAATTTTTGTCTTAATACATATATGAAAGGTATTTAAACAGAAGGCTTGTAGAGGTCTGTTTTGGGCAGAGTTATAAATGTTGCATTCTTTTATCTCTTCCGTGACAGGAAAAACTTTTCTATGAAAGGACATTTGAGCTTTGCAAAGTGAAGATAATCACAAGAGACAAATCTAGAGAAACGTAGGATGACCACGTATATATACTTATTTTCAGGATAGAGCAATACTATGAAGAGGTTATTGACCCAGTGAAAAGATGTATTATCATGTAATACGGTTTCTGAATGGCAACATGGTTTTCAAACAGTTTCCTAATGAATAACATAAGGTTGACAACTGTCTGCTTAATTTTCAGCTATTTACATCAGCTACTCAATAAAACATTTAAAACTTTAGCATTGTTTTGATAATCCAGCTTATAAGATAATCCTTATGTCACTTAATCTAAATACTTCATAATAAATAATTCTTCATTCTAAATAATTTAATATTCTCATGATGAATAATGTAAGGAGATAACTGTCACATCTTTAGCTTAGATTCAGAAAACATCAATTAAATACAATACTAGAAAATGTTTCCCTCAATGGCAGTCACTTGCCTGTAATGGCATTGGCCACTCTTAAGGCCAGAAGTGGTGGCCATTTTATTGTGGAGGCACCTAATAGGCGGCCACCATTACCTCCTATAAAGGGACAAACAATTTTACATCCATACCTTCTCTGGGATTCAAACCCGGCCCTTTGGTATCACAGTCAGGCTCCCATAACCACTATACCATCTGGGTGGCATACTAGCAAATGTAACTGAACATTCATTCATATTACAGCTTCATAGTTTCAAAACTAAAGCATTAATAAAACTCTGTTGTTTGCGCTGAGAATATATTACTTTAAATATTTGCAAATCAAATAATAAATTGGAATCTGTAGGGTTGCTACTGGAACTGGAAACTAGAGTTAAAATCCTACAGACCTTACTACGCAGATAGTGAGTTATTGCTACATTTTGAACAATTCAAATACAGAAGATTTAAATAAACTTTCTATTTTACTCACAGTTCGAACACAGAGGCATAACTTGTGCTATAGACAAAATTTCTATAACTTGTGGATATTTCAAATTCACAGAACTGACAATTAAATTTGAACATCAATAATGCAGTCCAAGGCTACACATTAAATAGAATAAGCAGGTTCATATATTTTACTGCCATACATTTAAAGCATCAACTAACAAGAATGCTAAAGCAGGAATAAAATTTTTAAACAAAGCAGGCCAAAAATATTAACTGCAAGAGATGACCAGAAGCTCTCTTAATTACAGATTCAAGATGCTCAACTTTAATCACACAAACATAATTTGCATTCTGGTAAGGAATATGAAAAGAGAAATTATAGTAATGATTTAAATCATAATACCTGGTCAATTAGCATAAGGTACTTTACAAATCTAATAAAGTGGCTCTTAATTTAAGTATTCCCCACTGGTGGCCAAGCGGTTAAAGGCTGCTGATAGTTTGTCCTGGAAACCAATCTAGGTGAATGAGTTGGTTGCATGTTTTTTCATGTTTTCTCTATGTGGAATATGAATACCAACCACTTTTCCTTAGAAAATCCTCC